AAGTTTGATCGTTTTGCAAAGCGGATATTTTCGGAACAGTTTGTAAAAATCGTAATCGAGCTATCTTTTATGGATTTCTTGTCATAGTTTAATCTTCTGTTTTGATTTTGCAGATCAGTTCACGATCAACTAAAAAGAATTCGGTATGGATTGGTGTTAGGTCTTATATCCACAGTACTGGTGTCTGTTCCAAATCTGAAATCACTATTTCTTGATCAACTCCGATTTGTAAGTTATCTTCCGGCTGTTGTCGTGATCTCCTTTCTTGTAGATGATGAAAACGTTTCATTCACAAGACTACAATTATTGTAGCTTGTGAGAAAGGTAACGCCGCAATTAGGTTTGACAACCGTAGTCGAATCGGTTTAGTAACTATGCACACTTTCTATAAAAAGCTAATGTGTTTATGCTTTATGCAGTGCTACTCGCCAGCATATCCTGCAACATAGAAACTTCAGAATATTTTGCATCGTTGTAGCATAAGGGTAAAGCATTTCGGCGAACTCCATCTTAAAACAAAGTTATGGAGCAAAAGCACCACATTATCTTAATATTTTTGCAGGTAGGAATGGATGAATGGGTTGCGCAAATGTTCAACTGGGCTAGTATTATCAATTCATCTATCAACATAGTTGTCTACATTTGGCTGAACAAAGAGTTCCGTTACCAATTTGCCCGCGCATTTAATAGTAAGTGGCTACATATTGAAGTGAGAGCAATTAATGCTGCACATGTAGTTCGCTATTTGGAACGAAGATCGCCTGTCACTGTCATCGCACCAACGAAAGCACCAACAAGAACCACTTAGGCTGTTTAATTAGTAGAATGATTACGCACTTATCTTCAATAAAGTGTAAAACTATGATTTGTCACTTTGTATTTACGACGGGAATGGATGACAATACATGTATGGAAGTTTTTTTTGACTATTGTCGATATAGGCGCTCATTCGCGCTATGTTACAATGGTGAACACTATTATAAATCCATTCTATGAATACCCGTAGTTTGCGTTCTTGTTGATGCAAATCACCTTCCAGCCAATACGTACGAATAAAGAGAGATAGAAAAATTTGAAAAA